TCTAATGTTACAACTAATCAGGGATCCCTTTAAACTGAGTGCTGCTTACTTGGTTTTGTTTTACTTTTTTCACTTTCACACTTGATTCTTACCACAAAAAAAAAAAAAAAAAAAACACGTGTAATTTAATCTCTGTGTAAATACAGCTGTTCTGTAAAGGCCTTGGAAGTTTGTTACACAACTTTAGAGATCAAACAGCATCATGAAGACCAAGGAACACACCAGACAGGTCATGGATCAAGTTGTTTGGACGTTTAAAGCAGGACATCTCACCGAGCTCCRTTCAATCCACCATCTGAAAATGGCTCAACGAGACATGGTCGTCCACCTAAACAGACAGTGAAATATCAAAAGACGCAGCTCAGGTGGAACAGTCTGTCCACAGGGCAACTATTATTCATGCATTCAACAAATCCAGTCTTTATTATGACCCCCGCACRTGAAGCGTAAGCGGGAGTCATGTTGTTTTCGTACTGTTTATTTTTATTTATTTGGGKTTTTTTTCTCCAGGGATTTTTGGTCAACCGTAGCACAAAAACGGCTGCACTGATCAACATGAAATTTGGCAGGGCTAGATGAGTCTGACCTACACTGCACCAGCCAACGGTTTTATGATACACCCCATATTTGAGGAGGGGGCTCCTTTCAAAGTGGGGGTGTCAGAACATGCAAAATCGCTCATAACTCAGAAAGTGTTCAAAGTAGGAGCTTCAGATTTCTTTTGTTGTTTAGCTCTGATGAAGCTCTATCCATCAGGCCCACCAATCAGAGCCCCCCACCCCCCGGACCCCCAATTTATCTGAAAAWGTGGKGTCTGGACATRCAAAAATGYTTATWRCTCARAAACTRTTMAACATAGRAGCTTCAKATTTCTTTTRYTGTTTAGCTCTGATGAAGCTCTATCCATCAGGCCCACCAATCAGTGCCCCCATCCCCGAACCCCCAACTCATCTGAAAAAGGGGTGTATGGACTTACAAAAAGGGTTATTGCTCAAAAACTATTAAACACAGGAGCTTCAGATTTCTTTTGTTGTTTAGATCTGATGAGGGGCTATCCATAAGGTCAACCAATGACGCCCCCCACAAAAATAGACTCCCACCCAAACCACTACAATTCTGTGATGCACCTAGTGGCATGACATTTATTAGAAATAAAGACTTCTGAGTTCTGGTGCATCTCTGCGTGTGGGGGTCATTTTGTTACCGCTTTGCAGTATCTAGTTTATTTATTCCATTTTCATTCATTAAAAGAAACAACAGAAAAGCTCATAAAAATATATATATCGAACACTGAATGAAAAGGGTGCAGAAAGAAGAAAAAAAATCTTATAATATTTTATGAAATAGTGACAAGAAGAAAGCTGTTGTTGATGGAAAGCCAGAAGAAAAAAGTTTGTAGTTTGCCTCAAACTACATAGAGGACACAACAAACACAAGGAAAGAGTTGTTCTGGTTAGATCAGAGATGTCCAATCCTGGTCCTCCAGTGCCATTACCCTGCATGGTTTTGATGTTTCTCTGCTCTGACACACCTGATTCAATGATTGCATTGCCTTTTCATGTTCTACAGAAACCTGTTAATCCCCCATTCATTCAAATCAGGTGTGTTGGAGCAGAGAAACTTCAAAAACATGTAGGATTGGACACCCCTGGGTTCAATTAAACAAACAACAAAAAAAATATATAACTTTTTGACTTAAATGCAAAACACAATGTGTGGCAGAAAACTACTGCACATCAATTTCTTCAGAAGGAACAGGAAAGCTGGTTAGAGTTGGTTGGAAGATGGATGAAGCTAAATCGAGTATAAAACTGTAGGAAAAGTATGGAAAATGGGTAGAAGTTCAAGTGGTGTGATCACTTGTTCAAGACACTATAAACCCTTCATCTTACAGCTTTTTTTCTCTGTAAGTGGATACAAGCTTAAGTGTTCGTCCTGCACAGTCTGAATAAACAACTCATTTCACGGGTTCCTTAGACCTTTCCCACATTACTGTGACTTTCATAAAGAAGGTCATCTCATGTTAACCCCGTGCATGCCGTTCCAGAGCCGTACACCTACCACTCAGCGAGGCTCCACCTGGCTCGTGTCGTAGAGCTGCTGAGAGCGCCCGGACCTCAGGACGCACTGAGAGAGGGACGTTCACCGAGCATACTGGAGACCCTCACGCACACACAGACACCCGGTAAACACAGGAGCTGTGCGCCGATGGCCTGATGGCAGCAGAGGAGCACAAGCCCATTTTGAAAAAAAATAAATCTCTGTTTTGTGCAGAACATAGCTTATTGAACGGGAAGAGCCTGAAGCGCTCTTTAGCTAATGCAAAGGCAGAGTCGGCCAGCCAGGACGAAGGTCCACCTGATTACCTCCTCCCCGGTTCATCAGAGAGACCCCTCATGGCCCTGATGCCACACAGCTCTCAACCAGAGGTGAGTCAATACCCGGAGTCTGTTTGGGCTGATTCATCAAAAACACAAACTGACTCCAGCGTTTCTCATCAGACTCACAGTTACCTGAAGGACCTGGCTCTCAGCTGCTGGAACCCTCCTCCGGGACACAGGAAGCTGCAGGGAGACTTCATGTATATCGCAGTGGTGACGGCGGAGGGGCGACGCTGTGACATCACATCCTGTCCAAAAGGTTTCTTCCTCAACAGGTGAGGATGGTCACGTTTTATGGAACGGCTCGAAGTGACACGAGTGACAATGTATGACACCATATACAGGTCTACAGAAGACGCGTTCGATCCTCGTCCTGCTCAGTCTTCGCCTGTGTGTCACTGTTTCACCGACCTGCTCTGTCACATCAGCCCTGCGTTCAAACAAACCTTCACCGCACTCAAAAACAAGTAAAGAAGCCTGAAAACCTGCACATTCCCACGAGTTGGATGCAGATTCTGACTTCTCTTTTTCTCCGTTAGGACCCCCGAGCAATCAGTGGAGGTGATGCCCACTCCTTACCACACGCTGAGCTGGCTCGGGCCTTCCTGCTCCTCTCGTGTTCACAGGAACACCTTCAGCAGACTGGGGGTGGATGAACATGCAGCAGCACAGGTTATTTACAATAAAACAATGTACTGCAGTTTTTTATTTTGTTTTGTTTTTTTTTAGTGTTTGCAATTAAACTTTACACATGACTTTACTTTGTTGCATTCAGGCTCCAGACTGGAACGAGGAGCTGCAAGCAGCAAGAGATCTTCCCCAGGGAAGTCTGGAGGAGAGGCTGCAGAGAGACAGAGCCCTGCTACAAGTAAGCAGCTTGAATGTTTACAGCGGGGAGGACAGTTCTGACTTGCTTACTCATTCACTTTCTGCCCCTCTCTTTTTCTGCCTTCACCTCAGGTGAACGGTGCGTTTGTGAGGACTGTCATGCAGGCGGCAGAGACTGTGATAGATGGATTTGTTGAGCCGGTGAACGGAAACCCGGAGGACCCAGCTTTCGTGTGGGGCGGCTTGTTCATGAGCCAGGGTGCCATGAGTGCAGCGCTTGGAGGCGAGAGGGGCCGCAGGTAATTGCCGATTACACACAAAGGCGTACAAAATCATGAAACGATCGGCTGGACGTGAAGTGTTTTGCTTTTATGTGAACATTTAAGGTTCACTGTGTGACCACTAGAAGCTGCACAGAGCTGGGCTTCACGGAAGAGGAAACACCGTTCCCCACAGGGCAGTGGCTGAGTGGTGGCAGCATCGTGCTGGGGAAATGATTTTTATCAGCAGGAACTGGGAAACTGGTCAAAGTAATAATAAGAAAGAAGGAGAAAAACACAGAGAAATGTTTGAGAGGAACTTGGAGACTTGAGACCAGTACAGAAGTTCACCTTCCTGCAGGACAGTGACCCTAAACACCATGAAGCAACACTCCATGACAAACAGTGTCCTGTTTTGGGACAGCCAATATGCACACACTACATTTCAGCTTTTCTATTAGAGCTGTTTAAAACAACTAAAATTCCCTACTTAACTTCAATATTAAGTATTTTTATAAAATGTATTACTTTTAATTAAATAAATAAAATATCCATTTGCGCTTGTGGGCAAACAAAACTAAAAAAAATAATAGGTGTCTGGGTCCTTTTGCATCTACCTGTATTCATATTAGCTGTTCCTGTTTCCATATTTTACTAGAGTGAATAAAGTGATTGTTTTCTGCATTAATTACAGATTTGGTCTGTTTTATGGTTTCAGTGGTTTATTTGTTATATGAATTAACTTATAAGGACTAAACTACTAAATGCCACTGAGATTTATTTAGACCTATTAAAGTGCTTGTGGCATCAAATTTTTGTATTAAATATAAATGCACTTTTGGAAAAATAACATATTGCAAAAATTAATTTTAACCATTGAAATGAATAAGTGTTTTAATATTCACATGTGCAAGGAACAGGAAGTGATGTCAAAGGAGAATGTCTGCATCTAAAGCATTGCAATGACAACACAGACTGCACAGAATAATGTGATGTTTCTTTAGATTTTTTTGAATCACTATCAGAGAGATGAAGAAGAACCAGAGTTCAAATTATATTGTTTCAATAAGCAAAGACCAGGGAGATCCCTTTCTTAAAATGTTCCCTTTGATGTCACTTCCTGTTTTATTTTGGCTAATCCAAGTTAAAAAAAATGCCAATTATGTGACAAAATGGGTAAAATCATGTGTGTTGTGTCAAGTTTCTTGAGTATAAAGATTTTTTCTTTACCTTTTTATATTTGAAGGATGTCACAGACACTTTAAGGATTGAAAGAGGGTTATGACTAGATTTGAAGCCTAACAATAAAAATAAAAAAAATCAGCTTCGAATCCATTTTAATTTCTTCTCTCCTTTTATCGCAGGGCATCTCAGAGACTGGAGCTTAAAGGTGTTCAGGCTTACAGTGACTTGGAGGGGTTGCAGGGGCTGCACACTCTGCCTACAGCCATCGTGGACTACAGAGGGGTGCGCCTGTCTGCTCAGGGTCTGGCTCCTGGCTTGGAGAGCTCAGAGCAAGACCAGGAAGCTTCTCCTGCATCGAGGTGGGCTTCTGTTTTTGATAAAACTAAAAATATTTGGATTGTTTTTGCATCTCAAAAAACACGTTGGATTTTTGTTGTGACTCTACAGCTAACTGCTTCTCTTCTTCTGTGTTTAGAGGTCTGCTGTACGGGGTGAACGCAGGGCCCCAAGAGTCCCCCCATCGCCGACAGCTGCTGTCGCTCTTGGCTCACTCCGCCAAAGCTCTTTCGATTCAGAGACATGTTGTGGTGGGACCCAACGGTCACCAGGTGCCTCTGTTCACCTCACTGGACGCTCAGGGGCTGCTGGGAGCCGACAGGAGGTTCTATTTACTCGACGTGTTCAGGACCTTTCCAGCTGATGCCAACTTTTGTCCAGAAGAGAAGACGGAAAAACTGACAACTGCTGAAGAAGAGAGCAGTAAAAGCAGTCAAGGAGAAGTTAAGGAGGAGGAGGAGAAGGGTTGTGAGAAAGAAGGCTGGCCAGAGAATTATAAAACCACCTCCGGACTGCCTAAAAGTTTCCCTCACAGACTCTGTAGGCTGAGGCCAGAGCTGGTGCAGGCTTTCATCCAACATAAGTGAGTTCAAAATAAAAGAGAACACTTAGAAAACACTTTTTAATACATAAAGTTTAATATTTTTGTTTGTATTTTAAGACACGGCCGGTTTACTCAGCTTGTCAGAGAGAAGTTGGATGAAAACGGAGGCTTTGAGGAATGTGCAACAGCCAGTAAGACGTGTTTCAGTGCATCTAAGCAAATGCAAGTCCGTTACATTTTACATTAAATCAATTATTTTTTTCTCGCAGACGACTCTCGGGCGACGGACGCAATTCGAGCGGCGTGTAAAGAAGTGGGCTCCATCAGTGACATTATCTTTGAGATGCGATTCAACCCAAATGTTTTCTCTCCAGGTGTGCAATCCAGCCGTGCGTTCACGGAGATCAATGCACAAACGTGAGCCCAATCTGACGGCGGCACGTGCCTCCTGTGTTTTGTGTTCAGGCGTCTGTTTTCCTCCCAGCGAAAGGGCAATGACTGATCTACAGGAGAGGTTACTCCAAGAAGCTGCAGCTTTCATCGTCACACACCAGATCCCAGCCTTTGTGAGCGGCTGCGTTCTGTTAGCATCACGTCACAGGTGTGCGTGTCAACATGAAACCAGCTCATCGGATGTTTGTGTGTGTTCGCAGTTGCGAGGTTGCCAACAGAGCAACGAGGCGCCGATGGAAGGGGCTTCTTTAAAACAGGCGCTGCACCTAAAAGGCATCAACCTGCGGTACCTGGGCCACGTCGCCAAGGCCATTTCCCAGTCAGAACACAAGGAGCGTCTGAGGCATATAATGGTTTGGGACTTTTTCATTAAAAAATTTTTTTAAAGATACTCTAAATGCAACTGCCTTTTATCTAGATTTCTTTGTCTTTAACAGAGATTAGTGATGAGTGAAATTTTTATTCGATCGTCAAGAAGAGTGTTCAACAACTTCCTCCAGGTACATTTCATTGCTCTTTAATGATCCCGTTGGTTTCTTTTTAAATCTCCAAACACCTGAGCGGTAAGAGGTGGTGCAGACTGACATCGGAAAATGAAAGTCAGGTCTGTGATCGTGTCTTTGTAGGGCGTGGACGTGCCGAGTCTCGCCGCAGCCATCAGTCACTTCCTCGGCTGCCTGTTGGTCCCCCACTTCACTCCCTCTCCTGTGGGGGAGGAGACGAAGAAGAAGTCGAGGCGGCGCGGCCGCGGCACGGGAACCTCCGAGAACACGCCCTGGAGCATGCTCACAGGAGCCGAGCTGTGGAATCTGGTCTGCCAAGATGCTGCTGAAACTTATGACACCTCTGACGGTCTCGGGTGAGGACATGGAGTTCTTGTTAAATGGAACAGAATGCAATGATTTGCAAATGTCATAAACCCGTATTTTTTTCACAGCGGAGCATGTGTCAACTGTTTAAATTAAGAAGTTTTGCTGTTTTGATGAAATAAATAAGCTCATCTTGAATTTAATGGCAGCAGCGCAGCTCAAACTGGGGTAACAAAAGGTCGTAAAAGAAACAGCTGGAACTGTTTGCAGCTAATTATGTACGCTGGAAACAGGTCAGGAGGAGGACGAGAAGTAAAGATGGGCAGAAGTTCACGAGTCTGCAAAAAGCTGCGTCTAACAATATGGAAAAACAATTTCAAAATAATGGCTAATCATGGATAATGACTTTGCATTTCCCATCATCGACAGTTCACAACACCAGAAAAAAAAAACAGTTTCAATATATGACATGTTTACTATGTGAATAAAAAAATGGGTTTGAGATTTTCAAATCATTGCATTCTGCATTATCTTAAGTTACACATCACCCCAGCTTTTTCTCATCTCCTCCCTTTATGCGACAGCTCTGGTCCTAACCACCTGGTGGAACACTACGGTCTTCAAAAAATCTCCCTGCTCAGAGAATTCTGTTTAAAAACAGGAGTGCAGGTATCCCATACACGCTGCTTTAGATTCAATATATTATTAAAACAATAATAACTGTATTAGCTGCCAGAAGAAAAATACTTTAATATTCTAATTTTTTCTCCGCACCAGTTGAGACTGAGAGACTACTTGTTCGACAATCTAAACAAAGCTCCCATCAGTCCGGACGACATCCTCAACATCTTCCCCGTGGTGAAACACCTTCACATGCCCATCGGGGACGCTTCAAAAGCACATCGAACTGCACAGAACTTCATTCAGAAAAGTAGATCTAAGAAATAAAACAACACATGCTTTTGATTAGAATTTTAATTTTTTTATCGTATTACCATTTCACAACCTAGTCAAAAATGGCTGTGCRTGTCTCAATTTTAAGGTCTGCTGGATCAGGCCCACGAGAAGCTGAAGGAAGCAGCCTACCTGTTCGGCAGGGTGTGCGATGATCTGCACCCCGAGGCGTGCCATTGCCACAGTCTGTTGGCGAAGGTGACCTACCTGCAGGGGAAGACGGCGGAGGTATGCCCACTACTCTACATCTGTCAAAAATATTCTACAGTAAAGTGCCGGACAATGTTAGTCCAAAGGATTTAGGGGGTAGAATAAGTGTAACATGAGTGGATAAATCTGGAGGGGAGCTGTGGAGGGAGGGCACAGCAGAGAGCAAGGGGGAGGGACTTGTAAGGTGTGCTTTTTCAAGTTTTCAGGCTAAAGTTCTCGGTTTTCTCTGGACTCCCTAACAGCTTTAACAACTCCTTCTGGCCTTCTCTTTTTTTTTTTTTTAGCAAATTTCAGCAAAATCGTTTAACGCTCACCATTCACTGTAATTTCCCCTTGGGATCAATAAAGTATCATTCATTCATTCATTCATTCATTCATTCATTCAT